AATCGGACAAGACATCTCTGAGAAATCTTCTGCACAAATTTTGGAAAGAAAAAAAAAGGAAGAACTAGATACGATCTCGTTGTGAACAACGAGTGGGTCTTCCGTTCAATTCTTGATGAGATGAGATAAGATTTTGAATGAGACTTTCATTCTAAAGTAATGATTTTCCATTATCTGTAAAAAAAACATTGAACAATAAAGACTTCTAAAATCGACTTTTGGCCCCTCAGGACCCCTAATATTAGGGGTCAGCCCTTTTTTCTTCATAACATTTTAAAGCTCTCAGGATTATGAACGCTTTTTGTTCAACAACTATTCAGAGATTCTTTTTCGTTTTCGAGTTATTTGGAAAAGTATTAAGGAACCAGCCCTTCAGCTCCCTAATGGGGACGTTTAGAGAAAAATGAAAGGTTGCATATTGTTCAGAATATGATTTTGAACAGCTTTTGTTCAGTATTACTTATCAAAATATTTCTCACTTTCGAGATACAAAGCGTCAAAGTTTTAGCATTCTGGCCCCTTGTGGCCCCTAATTATGTACCATACGATATTAAAATTATAATGTACAGTTGTAGATTGTTGAAATAAACATTTTTGCTTCAGTAATGTATAACAAATTATTGACTGTTAAAGAGTTATCGAAAAAAGACTTTTAGCCCCTTTTTGGTCCCTAATTTGAGTACCCAGCCCATTTTCCTGGATTTCATTTCGAAGCTCTTAGGATTTTGAGGACTTTTTGTTCAACAACTATTCAGAGATTATTTTTCGTTTTCGAGTTATTCGCAAAAGAAATATTTAGGGGCCAACCCTTCAACTCCCTAATAGGGACGTTTAGAGAAAAATGAAAGGTTGCATATTGTTCAGAACATGATTTTGAACATCTTTTGTTCAATATTACTTGTCAAAATATTTCTCACTTTCGAGATATATTGCATTAAAGATTTAGCATTCTGGCCCCTTCAAGCCCTTAATTATGTAATATACGACTAGAAAATCATAATATACAGTTGTAGATTGTTGAGATAAACATTTTTGCTTCAGTAATGTATAACAAAATATTGACTGTTAAAGAGTTATCGAAAAAAATTTTTTAGCCCCTCTTGGCCCCTAATTTGAATGTCCAGCCCCTTTTTCTGGATTTCATCTTAAAGCTCTTAGGATTTTGAACAATTTTTGTTCAACAATTATTGAGAGATTCTTTTTCTTTTTCGAGTTATTCGCAAAAGAAATATTTAGGGGCCAACTCTTCAACTCCCTAATGGGGACGTTTTGCAAAATTGAAAGGTTGCATATTGTTTAAAACATGATTTTGAACATCTTTTGTTCAATATTACTTATCAAAATATTTCTCTCTTTCGAGATATAAAGTGTCAAAGATTTAGCATTCTGGCCCCTTGTGGCCCCTAATTATGAACCACACGACATAAAAATCATAATATATAGTTGTAAATGGTTGAGACAAACATATTTACTTCAGTAATGTATTACAAAATATTAACTGATAAAGAGTTATCGATTAAAGACTTTTGGCCCCTTTGGCCCCTAATTTGAGTTCACAGTCCCCTTTTCTTGATTTCGTCTTAAACATCTTATGATTTTGAACACTTTTTGATCAACAACTATTCAGAGATTCTTTTTCATATTCGAGTTATTTGCAAAAGAAATATTTAGGGGCCAACCCTTCAACTCCCTTATGGGGACGTTTAGAGAAAAATGAAAGGTTGCATATTGTTCAGAACATGATTTTGAACATCTTTTGTTCAATATTACTTATCAAAATATTTCTCTCTTTTGACATATAAAGCGTCAAAGATTTAGCATTCTGGCCCCTTGTGGCCCCTAATTATGAACCATACGACATAAAAATCATAATATATAGTTGTAAATGGTTGAGATAAACATATTTACTTCAGTAATGTATTACAAAATATTAACTGATAAAGAGTTGTCGATTGAAGACTTTTGGCCCCTTTTGGCCCACAATTTGAGTTCACAGCCCCTTTTTCTTGATTTCGTCTTAAACATCTTATGATTTTGAACACTTTTTGTTCAGCAACTATTCAGGGACTCTTTTTCGTTTTCGAGTTATTTGCAAAAGAAATATTTAGGGGCCAACCCTTCAACTCCCTAATGGGGACGTTTAGAGAAAAATGAAAGGTTGCATATTGTTCAGAACATGATTTTGAACATCTTTTGTTCAATATTACTTATCAAAATATTTCTCTCTTTCGAGATATAAAGCGTCAAAGATTTAGCATTCTGGCCCCTTGTGGCCCCTAATTATGTACCATACGACATAAAAATTGTAATATATAGTTGTACATAGTTGAGATGAACATTTTGCTTCAGTAATGTATAACAAAATATTGACTTTAAAAGAGTTATTGAATAAAAACTGTTGGCCCCTTTCAGCCCTTAATTTGATGAGTCAGCACATTTTTCTTGATATCATATGAAAGATCTTTGTATTTTGCACAAATGTTGTTCAGTATATTTTAACAAAATATTTATCTTTTAAAAGATATGATACAAAATGTCTGAAAAAATCACTCATAAAACGTGTCCTAAATTTTGACCCCTACCGAGCTTCCATACTAGGCACTTCCGGAAAATATCCTGACCCAGGTGCAACATGGCAACATGTCCTCTATCATCACTAAAAATTTCAGCTCTCTAGCTTGAGCCGTTTTTGAGTTCCATCACAGACAAGGAGGTCCTCTAAATTTCGATCAAAGGGCGATAACTCCCGACCGGAAGTGAATTTCAAAAAAATGATTTGCCGGAATTAACATCAGATGACCGCGCATCGACTGTGAAAATTTGAAGCAAATCGAACGAGCCATCTCCGAGAAATCTTCTGCACAAATTTTGTAAGAAGAAAAAAGAATACAAATAATAATAATAAAGGTAAAAAAGAAACCTAAGAATAATAGAAGGGTCTTCCGCTGAAGACGGAAGACCCTAATAATAAAAGTGAAAAAGAAACAATAGAATAATAGAAGGGTCTTCTGTTGGAGACGGAAGACCCTAACTACACTTGCACCCTTAAAAAAAATGTGAAATGCTTTAGATGTATACATACCATGTGGAGAAATGGATGCATTTTGTATTTATTCATTCTTCAAGCCTGGAACTCTTGACAGCTAAAATGATAAAAGTTTTGATTTTATAAATCATGTAATTTTAAAAAAAATGTGCTTAAATTACAGAATTTAATTGACTTTACATGTAATCAAACTAAAAAATTAAATAAATGTTTTATTCCCCATTAATTTAGAAATTGAGACTCTGAATTTACAACCATGCATAGATCTAAAGGGAATGTTTTATGTATTCAACATAAAGATACATAATATATATTTTTTATATTATGTGGCATGAGTGTATGCATAAAAGTCAACAATATTACATGTTTAGTAAATCATTATCAACTCACAGACTGAAACAATGACATTTCAAATTTTATTTAGTTTTGTTGACCCCCCAACCCCCCTCCCCAACCCTTTCTACACATATTGACAATTGTCTCAAAAAAAAAAAAGGCGATTTGCAAGAACTCTGTACCACATATTTAGTGCAGTGACATTTTTAAAATTCTAATAAAAAATATGCAACTTTGTATGCAGTTGTGATTGGGGATGGGGGTGGACATACATACAATCACATTCACAATGCACTGCATTAGTTTTTAACTGACTGTGATAATAGATAGTTTTTGACAGGCCTGAATTTTAGCGAAAGTTAACTCCCGTTGGTCGCCATATTGGAGGTCTACTCTTTGTCTTACCAAGTATAAGAGGTTGTAGCAGAAATATTTAGTGGAAAATCTTTAATAAATAATTTTTTTTTCAAATAAAGGAGGCTTCCAAAAATTTATATACTTCAGAAAAATAATGATTTTTAATTCACTGTAACAAATATATAATTTTTTAGTTGTTGAACAATGAAGGAATATGAACATTTGGACCTCCAGTATGGCGGCCAACGGGAAATAACTCTCGCTAATTTCTGGCCTATCGAAAACTATCTATACATCTAAATGAACATGTACGCACTCGCGATCCTATTTTGTCTTTGATGTTAAGAAAAGAATATCTAGATATTATACATACATGTGTATACATACCTGGGCTAAATGTACTGCAGCGATGGATCTAGGGAGCTGATGCAAATCGTCTCACTCTTTCTTTATTTTCCGAAATAATGTCCTTATATTTTCGTAATAGGGATTAGCAACGCCTTGCCTCTTATCTCATTCCTATTTTCTATAAATATTCCCCGGCTATTGCATTTAAATCCACTGCATGCATATCTCAGCTGATGTCGCCACGTTCTATATTAAACATATTTCTATGTTAAACTCGGATTCCCTATTGTGGCCCCGCCCTACCCCTGGGGGTCATGATTTTAACAATTTAATATCTACACTACCCAAGAATGCTCCCACATAAGTTTCAGCGCTCCTGGCCTAGTGGTTCTTGAGAAGATTTGTTCTATATATTCCTATGTAAAACTTGGATTCCCTATTGTGGCCCCGCCCTACCCCCGGGGGTCATGATTTTAACACTTTAATATCTACACTACTTAAGGATGCTTCCATTTAGGTTTCAGCTCTCCTGACCCAGTAGTTCTTGAGAAGAAGATTTTTAAAGATTTGTTCTACATATTTCTATGTAAAAATTGGATTCCCTATTGTGGCCCAGCCCTACCCCCGGGGGTCATGATTTTAACAATTTAATATCTACACTACCCTAGGATGCTTTTATATAAGTTTCAGCTATTCTGGCCCAGTGGTTTTTGAGAAGAAGATTTTTTCATGACCCCACCCTATTTATGTATTTTCTTTATTATCTCCCCTTGGAAGTGGTCTTGGCCTTTGATTTTAACAATTTAAATTTCCCTTCACCCAAGGATGCTTTGTACTTAGTTTGGTTAAAATTGGCCTAGTGGTTCTTGAGAAGGAGTTGAAAATGTGAAAAGTTTACAGACGGACGGACGGACTGACGGATGGCATTAACGATTACTCTATACCCTCTCGCTTTTCAAGCGGGTGTATAATAAAGATTGATCACCTCGTAGTGTGATAAGCTTTGTTTTCAAATCCCATGCAGGAGATACATGTAAATTTCATTATTCCTGAGATAAGTAAAAGAAGTTTAACGAAGCTTGTACTTGTAACATAGAAAACTGAAGAAAAATATGAAATATTTGACCTGCGTTTTTAAGTCGTTAACTCTACAGATAGATGGCAAGAAGAGAGCTCTGACAAGAATAATGTATTGCATTTCCATTTCTATTTTTTTCTAATATGCATGCAAATCTCGTGTGCATCTGTCTCTGTGTCTGACGCTAAGGAGGCCAAATATGCATGTAAATCACATGCAGCTGTCTGTGTTTGACGCCAGTGGGCGAGACTTATTGAAATTGGCATGGAAGTTGTCGTGTAATTTAAGTCCATGTCTACAATATTAAGGTCTAAACCTATAATTTTATTTCACAAAACTGTGAAGATCTTTTTGAGTGCAATCCAAAGTTTTAAAAGCAGCCATATGCCACGTATAAATAAAGTGAGGCTGTCACTGAATCAAACCGAGTTACTGATAATAAAAGGTTTACTATATGAGCTGTCACACTTTAGTTCATTTTCCAATTTACAAAAATGATACTAGAAAAATACATTTATTTTTCATCCGAAATAGACTGCATTGTGTAAATGTTCTTAGCACATTAACACATATATTCATTGTATTATTCACCAATGTACATGTACATTCTTAAAGCCAATTTCTTTAACGCTATTTAATATGCACATGTAACAATATTTAAGCTTAAACTACTCAGGTTTAACCTATTCATCACCAGCAATAGAATACACATTTTCTGGACTCTGTATTCCTCTTTTTTGAAGCCTTTTTGAAAATGTCAGGTAAATGTGTCCAATGACTAGCGAGACGGTTAGCACAGCAAATACCACAATACTCCATAAAACTTCCTTATTTACACGGGGAATTTCTTTTACTTCATTTCGAGCCTTTTTTGCTTCCATCTTTCCTTCTATATATTATTCATAGAAAAGGTAAAAACATATCAATGAAAATGCGGGAGAAACAATATTGTAAGGTTTTGTTGCATTAACAATGTTTATATAAATTGTAAATTTTAGATATATCTGCGTAAAAATATTTCTAATGACCGCACTACGAAATTAACCTAACATCATCAACATTGATAGTAAATAGCAAATTGGTTTACCTGAATGTACGTCTGTAATATCTGCTGAGTATATGTTGCCTCCTGTTGTCAGCTTAATAATTACTGTTTCATCTGTTGTCCTTGATGTACTTTCAGAAGAAACCGTTGACCTCCTAGTTGCAAAAGACTGATTTTTGTCTTCTGATTAAAATAAAAGATACTCATATTTATATATATTTTTTTAATTTCCAAATCTAAACTGACAAAACCGTTTCGGTCTGGGGATAGGTTTGCATTATTCTTTTACATTATATTGTAAATAACATATATAACAATAAGAAAAACAGTTGAATGTTAAATAAGATTAAGTTTCTTAATTGATTCATAAAAATAAATAAACTGTGTTCAAAGTGAGTTTAGGTAATGATATCCACTTTATTTGTACATAAGTTTGTAAATTCAGACATATCTTATATTGTTACAAACTTTGAATTTTAAAGACAAAAAGAGAACGAGGTATCATACATTGAACTTAGTTTCTTGATTAGGACAGGAAATTGTAGAAATAATGGAAATGTAAAAGCGATCGATTATATTGAAGTGTTAAATTTCCGTTCCATATTTTTCAAACACTTTTAAAATACTTCATACTTTGCTACAGTGTATAACTAAAAATATACAAAAATGTAACAAACCTCTGGCAGGAAGAATCTATATAAAATTAACTGACCCTGATTTGATCTGGAACATCCAGAAGATATATTGCACAAGTGTATTGAACAAAAACACTTCTTCTGGCAGAACGTGCCATAGCTAGGGTATCGACAAGGTGTTTTACAATTACTACCATGGAAACCGTCTGGACAAAGATAAGGATCTGGATTGTAAAGAAAATAAATAAATATATTTGTTCTCTCATATTTTTTAACCTCTTTGGCAAAAAAAAAACTATTTTGAAGGAAAGAAGAAATTTGTAACTTGTTAAACTTTGGAAGTTATGCACATATTTCAAGTCTCATGTGAATTTTCAGACAAAAAAGATGAAAAGAATGTGTAGTTATAATAACTACACCAAAAAAATTTAATAATGCATTTTTTGCATATTTACAATAAGGTACATGTGTATATTATAATCGGATAGAATATATGTACTACACTGTACCTGTGTCTTTTCGGAAGATGGTTGATGGATTTCCTGATGGGTATCTTTGTGTTGCTTTATTGAACATTATATTTTGTTGTGTTGAAAATTTATGTGATGGCTTCGTTTGAATGTTTTTGAACGAATCTGCAATTTTGGTTATTATAAACGTGATGACATTCAAAGAACAGAACATTTGATATTTTAGCTATATTTCAAACATATGATTGGATAACCACTCTACCGTTCATATATTTCAGGCATCCACTGGAAAAGTTGCAGTGAGATTTAGGGCATAAACACTCCCGTTGACAATACTGACCATAGTTTGGATAAGGACATTTTGTCTCACAATATTTACCGAGGTATCCATCATGACAGGAAGGAGCTTTAAGTGAAGAAAACAAGTTTCTTGACATATTTTTTTTCGCATAATGTTGTTTGTCAACAGTACAGATGCTTTTTAACAGGAATTCAAGAAACTTTTCTTCATTAAACTATAATTATAAATAAGAAACGAGTTCGTCGAAAAATATTATTGCAAGCAAATGCAAGCAAAGGTTATGTCCTGATACATCAAAGAACTTTATTTCATTAAATTACATCAACGTCAATATAATTATGGAATATTTAGGAAAGGAAAAAACTATCAATATTCATAAAGATCAATCCAAAGTCAAACTCTTTCATAGATTTCCAATAATTGTAAAACCATATTACATTTAAACACCTAAACAGTAAATTACATGTATTAATATATTGTTTTATTATATCGTCCAGTTATAAATAAATAAGATTTTTAAGGATGCGGTCAGGATACCACAACTATTTGTAGAAAGATTACACATTACGAGGGGTTATCAAAAGGTTCGTGGACTGAGGCTAGAATATTAATCCTATGTAATCTGTGCTTTCAAAATTTATATGGAACATAAAACAACAAAAAATAAAGAAATGTTGAAAATTTTAGCCTGATACGTTCATTTTTGCCAAAGTTTCATTAAATGAAAACGACATTATTTGATCACCCAGCGCTGTCGTCATTTATTTTCATGATGTCTGATAACGTTATTGTTTTTTCAATGTCCGCCTCTTCTACCTCATACACTATTCTGATAAGATTCCCTGGAGCTGAGTAAGGACTTAAACCAAAGTTGTTTATATGACTTTACAACGTCATGAACAGTGTCCTTCAATGAATATAATATTCCAAATAGGATATAATATTCCATTGGGAGATATCCTCGCTTGATTGTGCCGGCATATTTAGCTTTTGGGAGTTCAATATCTACAACAAATGATCAACGTCATTTTTTACGTGATTGATTTTCACACCTTGACTACAAAATGACATGAACTGTACATGTGTATCACTTTTCTCTCTGAATCTATTTTGACATTAAAAGACAAGTTCTCTGTACCCAGTTTCAACATATTTAGGTCTATACCAGTTTTTTCAGGGGCAAAACGTTATAGAATGTAGGAAACGGAAACTCCTCTCCCATTTTGAAGTCATTTTCAAGGCTTAATCTGTTTGGACGGAGTATGTTAAATTTAGAACTTCCCAAAATGAAGTGAAAATTTCATATTTTATGGAACAATTGTGTCCAGCCACATACCCCTAATAACGGGATTTTTGGATATCAAATGATCAAATCAAAAGAGTTTTTTTTTCAGTCACACATAGGTTGCAAAAACGTCGAGTTCGAGGTTGCGCCACCTGGACATACCATTGCTTACAATAATATTACTTATTTATTAAAAAATAAAATTTATGATTTATGATCTTTTTTTAGTTAAAAAAGATATTGCCAACTAGATGTTTTGAAATTCATTGATGTGCCTTGATCTGTTTAAATTTTATGACGCTAGTCCACGAACTTTTTGATAACCCTTCGTATATCATTTATGTTTATCTTTCTTTCTTTCTGAATGTTAGCCACCATTTTACATTTAGATGTGCAAATAATTATTTCTTTTTCTTTTTTATTTCTTTTTCCTGCTTAGATACACCGCTTGTTTCAACTCTTTTTTACGATGTAATTGGAAGTACTATTTATGACATCGCAATTGCATGGATTATATAATGCCTATCCACTTCTATATATGTTGATATGTAGAGGTAAATGTTAATCTTACGTGGTGGAGGACATCCTTTCACAACATGACATAATTTTCCTCCACAGTCACATATCAATTGACAATTTTTTCCATAGCTTGGAAAACGGCATTTCTCCTCGCAAAAATCGCCAAAATATCCAGCAGGACAGTCTGCAATATATAACACTTAATAAAAAAAATCAATGTGTGAGATATGCTAAAAATATTAATTACATTATTAATTACCTTGCTTAGCACATCTAAATATATCCTTCCGTTTGTATCCATCAGGGCAGCTGGTTTTGAAATAGAAATAATTCTTTCAACAATTTTATATTATCAATTTTCAGTAAATATAATAATTTTACACAAAATTCAATTATTTAAATCTCACCTTAATGGCCAAAAGGACCACATGTCAACGGCAATTACATCCAAAATCGTTAAGAATAAAAATGTGATATTTAACAACAGCAGATTCATTTCTTTGTTCTCTTTATTTCTCGTCGAATTCTGTCTTTTCACAATAGATTATTATCTTGGTTAAAATCTTTTGTGTTTATTCACGATATTCAATATGATATTCATATGGAAACTGCTTGTACATTTTTGATCACTTAAAAGACGATGGTCGGATAATAATCATAGTGAAATAAAAAGCATACCTTTAACTTGGTTTTCACGATGTTAGTGTCAAGCACGTGCTTTGATTCAATCTCATAAATACGGCATTCATATCCGTCTATCGAGGAAGTTGATCAAACTGATCAAAATAAATCGATGACAATTTTTTTTTCCAAAGAGCTAGATATTCACTTTATGCATAAAAAGACTTGGTACATACACCGAGGTTTTGTCCAACAATTTTCGTCATTTTTTTTTTTCAATTTAGGGAACAAATGCAGTGCTTTTGTTTTATATACCGGTATTGTCAGTTACACCACAGTCAGTTAGTGACCTAAAACGGATTCATACAGGGTGTGAATTGGAAACCCGTATTGGGCGAGGTGAAGCCGAGTCCTAATAGGGATTTCCATTTCACACCCTGTATGAATCCGTATTAGGTCACTACCTGACTGTGTTAACGACTGTGTCCGGTTAAGGACCTTTTTCAATATAAAAAAAGATATTTGTGCATATTATGAAAATATTAAGTTTTAATCCAATACCAATCAATATAAAATATCGTTGCGGTTACAAGAAATTTAACTAAAGCGTTTCTCAGCCGCCATTTTCATTTACAATAAAAACGCTTCGAACGGAATCGCGTGCCCGATTTTCATATCACACCTCGACAGGGACGTAATACGGAATTTTCAGAGCGTCATGTGATAAGCTTTTATCCAATCAGTATTCGTCAAATTTGTCTGAAGCGGGATAAATATGCATACATGTACAAGTTTTCTCTAAAAACGAGCTTTTCCACAAATGTAACAAAATGATACAGGCTTGTTTGATTACTTCAACAAAGAATCAATACATGAGCATATCACCCAATCCAATAAGAATTATAACATATTTTTTATCTTTAGAAACAGTTTTATCATAATAAAATCCCTAACAAAAATATTCTACAGTTTTCTATAGTATATATAATATATATCGATTATTTTACTTTAGTAAATCTAAGTATTGATTTTTTAATGGATTGCAGATTTTTAAATTTCATGTTTTATAAGCATTTTTTTTTTTTTATTAAAGTGAACTTTTGCTTGAACCTTAACTAAATAAGTTCAAATTTTACACTATCGATATTTAATGAAGAAATTTCAAATAACAAAAAAACATGTTAAGTACCATAGTTAATCAAAATATCAAAGTGTTTACTAAAGTTAACTATATATAGTTAACGTCAGTCATTTTTTGTTACGGATTGCACCTTTAAGTGTTTTGAGCTCAGCTGAGCCGAAGGCTCAAGTGAGCTTTTCTGATCAAAATTTGTCCGTTGTCTGTCGTCGTTGTCGTCGTCGTCGTAATTGTTTTATACTTTTCACATTTTCGACTTCTTCTCAAGAACTACCGGGCAAACTTGGCACAAAGTATACTTAGGTGAAGGGGATTCAAGACTGTTCAAATGAAGGGCCACGTCCTTATTCAAGGGGAGATAATTAAGAAATAATGAAAGTTTGATGATATGTTTTAAAAATCTTCTCAAGAACTTCTGTGCCAGGAAAGTTGAAACTCATAGGGAAGCATCCTCAGGTAGTATAGATTCAAGTTTGTTAAAATCATGACCTCTGAGAATAGGGCTGGTCCACAATGGCCTTTCAAAGTTTTACATAGAATATTAAGGAAAATTCTTAAAAATCTTCTTCTCAAGAAAAATTTTGCCCAGAAAGATGAAACTTATAGGGAAGCATACTCAGGTAGTGTAGATTTAAGTTAGGTAGAAGCATGACCCCTTGGGGTAGGGCGGGGCCATAGTGGCCGATCAGAGTTTTGCATAGAAATATATAAGAAAATTCTTTAAAAATCATCTCATCAAGATTTATGGAAGTATCCTCAGGTCGTGGATATTCAAGATTGTTTAAATCATGACCATTGGGGGTAGGAAGGGGGGAGGGTTCAATGGCTGATCAAAGTTTTACATAAAAAATATACTGGAAAATTCTTTAAAAAATCTTCTCAAGAATAGCAAAGACATGAATGATCATATTTTATGGAGCAATCTCGGGATTCAATATTGTTCAAATCATGACCGCTAGAGGTAGGGCGGGGGAACAACATGGAATCCATGTTTTACATAGAAACATTTTTTATTTTTTAATTCTTCTTTTCAAGAATAGCAAAGCCATGATTAGTCCTGTTCATATAGAAGCATTCTCAGGTAGTGTAGATTCAATTTTGTTCAAGTCATGACCTCTGGGGGTAAAGGGCGGGGCCACAATATAAGTTCTTATGTAAAGGGCAATAAAGCCACAGGTAGTCAAAGAAATATGCAAGCATCCTTAGTTATTGAAGATTCGGGTTTCTTCGAATCATACTCTCTCCCTTTTAAGGATTGGTTGGGACTACTATTGGGTTTAAACTTTTCAATGAAAAACTGATTTCTGCTTTTTCTATCTACATTGCACGGGTAAGCGATGTGGCCCATGGACCTCTTGTTTTCTTTTCTTACGGATCGCAACTATAAAGATTGCACTCAAGATACTATGAAAAATAGCTTCACATTTAGAAATATTCAAGATATAGGGAAAATTATCAGTTCATCACAAGTCCTGAGTTTTCAAGGCCTATGTTTGAAACAATGATCATGTGAGATAAAGGGGAGACCAGTCCTTAAAATGGATAAGCTGTTGCCCTTAAGCAACTGTCTTGAACCCTCTCCAATCATCAATATTGAAGAATCTGTGAAATTATTATTTTTTAAGTATTGAATTTGGAGTGCACGATTTTTGGCGGAAATCATTTTTGACAGGTTAAAGTAAATTGAATTCTCTTTGAATGTGCGCTTAAGGAATATCTGTAAACAAGACATTTAGGTGCTAAATGGAATACACAGCCAAATGTAAAAAAAAAATTACAGTATTTTCATTGAACATGTCAGTAAAGACAGAAACCAATTATAAGGTTTATTTCATTGCTAATAAGCTAGGTTGATTTATCTTTATATATCTTGCAGTTTTATAGAATGCTGAGTTTGTGTTACATATACCTACATGGCTGTACAAACAAACTCAAAATTAAAAACTATAGAGTAAAATTCGCGTTAAGCGATGCGATTACTTGATTTGAACATATTTTATTGTAAAATAAATACCTAAATGGATTGAAAGCAGGCATAATCTATATAAGCTTTCTGGATAATGCGTTTGTACATGTAATATCTTAACATTTCTTTAAATCTTATAAAGAAAGGTGAGTATGCTAACAGATAATAGATTTATCTTTTTTCAGAATATTTAAGTAAACAAATGTGCAAGTTTTACAAAAATAATAAAACATGAAAATCACAATTTTTATCTGTAAATTTTTAATCACAAACTCAAATAAGGCTTTTTCCCTCAAAATAAACTTTAAAAAATTGAGTTCTTATCTTTCTTAAAAACATATTGTAATAAAAATAAATTCAAGACCTTTTTTTCATTTTTTTAATGAAGTTTTGTATCGTGTTCATATTTAAATAATAAATATTTGAATTGATATTGATCCTCCCTTTATATAATCTTTACATTTGTTTACCTTCCATGTTAAAATGAAAATTATTTTTATGTATGAACTGAAATTCAAAACAAATCCCGTCATCGTTCTCATTGTCACTTCCCTATGTTTCTGCTTTTGTATGTGCATTTTTTTTATATTTTCCCATTAGGTTTGCCTTGTTCGTAATTTATGTCCTTCATTTCAATTTCCAAAGGTCCATCAGTTTTCTTAAATCTTTGGAAGACTTTCATTCCGATGTAAATGATGAAAATAACTGTTGAAAATATAGCAAGTGACGAAATACCAAAAGTTATGAAAGAGTTCATTGACACAGACGTTTTTTTCATGGAAGACACTTTTGAATGTGTTGTGAAATTTATCCTCTCTAGAAAATATAAAACATAAAAACCATTAAAACATAATTAAAATACACCAAAGAAAAAAACTTTAAAATCACAATTTTCAAAAATTACCGTTCTCCACCCTACAACCATTTACATTACTGCAGGTTTCTTTGCTGCAGTTACATCTTTTCTGGCAATTCCATCCATAGATACCAGATGGACAGGGTTCAGAGCAATTACTTCCAAAGTACCCTATATTACAAGCTGTGAATAAAAGTAGACAACAAATAAATATTAAAAACTAAACAGTATTTCAGCTTGGGAGTAAATAAAATTTATCGAAAGGAAATTTCCATTTATACATTTTTTTTTTCAAACTTAGAAGTGCTTCTTTCATTGGAAAGTATTAATAAATCTCAGAAAGTGTTTGTTTCATTCGTAAAATATTTTCTTTCAAAGTAAATATGAAACGATCCAGGCTACATTTTGCTCAACAAAACCAACTTGATAGTCATTTTAGGTAATCCATAATCTTTTGCAATATTTTTTTTAATGTAAATAGAATCTCAAACATGTAATCTCCAAAAAGACGAAATAAATTAATAAGATTAATAATATTAATATAGACGAAATAAATTTATGATATCCTTTTGGTGATCTATATGATTTTTTTAATTATCCTGCTAAGATTAATCAATACGAATTGATGAACTAAATTTTACTGCAATTCAAACAGTTTGATTTTTTGTTGTCAAATTACTTTTTATTAATCTTTTCAATGAACTGTGACATAACAGTTGCTCAGCAAATGGGTACTTACCTTCACAAATGTGCTTGTCCTCGTCCCACATGTACCCATCACAGCAATTATACGGTTTTCTGCAAAGTGTTATCAATCAGTTTTACCATCGAAATAAAAATGGAATACTTACTCTGCTTCATAAACAATAATGGAAACAAAATGTGCAATAAGATAAAATATTAACCCTTCACAAGTATTGTTGTCACAAAATACTGTGTAAATACAACTCTTTAACAGAAAAACACCAATCAAATATTTCAATTGTAAACAAGTAAACATGCTCCTGGACTATTGTGAGATTTTTGATCTGTGATAGGTCTGTTTCCTGTTTTCGTGTAAATACTGTGTTTTCAAAATTAAACCCTTCTGTGTTTTGTGTAATGCCAGGAAGTTTTGAATCAGCCCCCTAGTTACATTTATGTTCCCAAAATGTTTTAAATTTAAATACATGCAGTAATTAATTTTTTTAAAATAAAGTTCAAGTAAAATGTTCAAGTTTTACTTGATCTTTTTTTGTCTCCTTCGTGGTTTTCCACTGATAATATCGTCACTACCGTCATTGTTTTAAGCCTTTATCATTAATTCATTCTTTTACGACCTGATCATAAGAACCCTTTGCCCATAAACCTCTGTCATATCCAAAGCACTCAAAGAACATTTTTGTCCTTGAGCTTTCTAATATATTGTAAATAATCATATTTTTCAAGCAGGAAAGAGATCAGAATTTGGTTCACATTAAGTTATCATTGAGTGTGATGGAAAACTGAATGACTTAAAACAGCTTCTTAATGTTTAAAGGACTGTTCTTAGAAATAGAGATATAAATTGAAAATCCCTGAAGCACATAGCTGTACATATACATTGATAGCATTTTATAAGCAAGGAATATCTGAATGATAAAAGAGAAATCATTCTTCAAGAGAATTGTTATTAAATATCTCCTATAAAACATGATATTGAAGCAGACATAAATAAGATCTTTAGATGGAAAATGTTTCATTGAAGAACAGATGCATTGAAATGAAATACAAATCAATGTACATCATTTCTTTGAAATAACATAATTCCTTTGTCAAAGGCTTTTATGTACACAAAAAATGACTTCATCTGACATAATTTTGATCTGGATACAAATACGTGTACGACAATTGTGACCAGTTTTATAGGGAAATATAAACATTTTTGAAAAACAAATCTATTTCAGATTTCAAATTGAATATGACAGCACGTTTGTGAAGCTCATTTAATTTAACTGAGTTGTTTTTATTTATAGTCATACAAGGAAATAGCATAGGATATTTTGCTTAATTCGTAAAATATCGGTACAAGTTCCATGTTTGATTGTTAAATTTTATTTGTTTTATATTATACAAAAATAAATTTTGCTGGTACATGTAGTTATTTAACGACATTGAATCCTGATATGAAAAGTCTTAAACTTTTTTGCTAAAGAGTCTGGGTGGATTAGGCGAGTCATATGCCTACGCAAGGGCAAGCAAAATATCGATCAAATAAAATCTTGCAAATTCCACTTTTTGTTAGATTTGGGAGTTATTTATAACCATATGCATACAGTAAAGATGAAACTTGAATCAAATTACTTACTAATTGATTGTAATTAACCCATCAAAGTGGTTATACACTTAAGTATCCGTAAAAACGATAGAAATGGAATGTTAAAACTGTGTTTTTTATATAGAGTGGGTCTTCGTACCATTTTTTTTGTAAACAAATATTCAAAGGGTATGGAAGAATGTATCTCTCACCATTTTCAAAAAAAAAAAAAAAAAAGGTACGAAGACCCACTCTATATAAAAAAAGTTAGTTTTCCGTCTTAAATTTTGGAACATACGATGTATTCTCAAAAATTCTAAGTCCATTGTGTGCTTGCTATATATAGAACTGTTTTCTATTTAAAGGAAAATTTCTGTGCGACTTCGTGGCTCAGTAGTCATAGCGGTGGAGTTGAAGCACCCAGTTACCTGTCGCAAGTGTTCGAATCATGATTTTTTAAAGTTCAGGTTAAAATTAGATAAACATATTCTTTTTTTTACAAAAAACAAAATGAATAAATAAAATAATGAATTTGTTTACGGCCAATTAATGTTTTTCCTATAATAAACACGTTTTCAAGCTGCATTTGTATATAACATTTTAAATGCATTTTGTTCAAGACTACATTACACGATTAAAATGTAAACAATTTCAATCATGGGTAGCCAGTGCGATATGACTGTTCTGAATGCAAAAACAGTTAAAAGGAAAGGTAAAGCGTACCATCTCCCAAACCCTGAAGACATAATTATGTGATAGAACAATTAACATGCAATATGAAAAGCATCACGTTAGAAATACTGTAAACATATAGATATTGTCATTTGGACAGTGCTGTACAAAGTTTAAATGTTTTGGTAAATCGTACAACTATGAATTTTCCGAAATGCTTACAGAGCGACAAAATCCGTGTGGGCATTTGACTCGCCTTATCCCCCCAGATTCTTTATTTTTGTTCCTACATGTACATACATAGCTTAATTAAGTTTCAAATCTAAAACAGATTTCCAATCCTCAGCTTCTGAAATTTAGGCATGAACTAATCACAAATACACATTAAAATATCCCTGAATTCCCAAAATAGCGTGTTGAGAATATTATTCAAGGGAAATTGATATATCTGATATATTTTTTCAAAAAATGCGAATAAAAACGCATACAATGATTTTTTTCCAATTCACATTTGATCCACAAACACATTTTAGACATGAAAATCGTAGGTATCCAGACTTTTGGCTGTAAACGTTCGAATTAAACATGTAACATTGTGAATACTGTAAACCAATTTCTATTCACGACGACTTTATCTCGCGATTTACCAGGGATAAACTGATTGATTTATTTTCGCGATCAAGCCTTTTTGAATCTGTTGTTAATAGACACATACATTTTAAGGACCGGTTCGCGGCGAGAAATGACGAGATGACGAGGCTCTCGCAAACTTCGCGAAAATTTCTCGCACGCGAATGAAAGTTGGTTTACAGTATTAGAAGTGTTTGGATGTTGTTTTAATTTCTCCCTTTCCTTTGTTCTTGCAACTTTATAACTTTTTTGCTTTGTCCAGAGGAAGGACTTTGATATGGCGTCCTTAAAATTTGAAAATTTTAATTGTTTCGTTTTAATTGTATCTTTTTAATAGTGCCTATACTTAGGACACACGGTTTGTTTGTTCGTACTTTGCAATTTTCTTTTTAATTTTCCAGCATTACATATAATTCTGAACATAAATGTTATATGTTCATGTTCGAAAGATGGTGAATAACGCATATAACCAATTTGCAATCATGTTCAATTGTTAAAGATTCAATACAATGATCGGAACCCCGCCCCTAAGGGCTATGTTTGGTATAAAAGAGGTACACCTACCTCAAATTTATAACCTAGGATCAAAATTATATGAATTGCTGGTGTATTCAGAAAAAAAATATGTCCAATAAGCAAAGGTATACGTGTATGTATGTAAATCATATTGATTTACTTGAAGCATCCTTTAACAGAACAGATTGAACTACTTTAATTTACTCTATTGTTTTGTGGCTTTGTTCGGGTTTACATAAAGTGATAGAAACATTAAAATGAATCTGAGAGAAAAAATAGAATATTCTTCGTAGAAACTGCAGGTTAATGATTGATGGTATTGTTGAATGACTGATATGATATTAGCAAGACATTTGAACCGAAGCTAACATCGAATCCCGAGGCAGTCTTTAAAAGTCTACGTCCATGAATTATCAACTTAACCTTTTGATATACAATCTTATTTGGTTTTCATACATACATATACGAGGGTTGATCCAAAAGTAATGTCACAACTTTGATAAAATTGCTATATACATAAAGCAACAAAATTATACATGATAAAAGCTTTATTTATTTCAAATCACACCTGCAAAATTCCTGAGAAATTGATGTATACTTTCCGAAATATCGGATTTTAAAAATGTGCGTTTATTGTAGTCGCTGCACCTAAATATAACCTTATATGACGGATACGCACCGTCTTACTTTTAAGCGTTTCCTCTTTGTTACATTTAAATATATTAAATTTGCAACCAATTTTACCAATTCCACTTTTTCTAAGAATTCTCGGTACCACTACACACTCACTCTTTCATTATTAAGCTCTCTGTAAAAATTTTGTGAACAGTAGCAAATATGTAAGACAAATTTAAAAATTCACATGTCACTTTATACGGCTGTCTTTTTTGACAACGTCAGACACCATTGAACGTTCCGTCCGATCTCTTTTTTTCCTTCTTCTTGTCCTCTGCTGATTATTGAACCACCCGCCCAAAATTGCCGAAACCGTCTATTAGGATGTCTCTTATTTGCATTCTTCATTCCGTAAGTCTCATTACATTTATGTAACTATTGCTTGTGATGATTCCATTATTTTGAAGCAAAAATGCATTACAACTCGTCGAGCCCTGTTTTCCCCATTTCGACAATCCCTTTGTGCAATTCAACAAAGTAAAACAACAATGTTTATGAACACAAATAACAACGTCGTCTTTTAATTTTCAATTATAGACTAAAAAAGGAAGAGCATTGTGACTTTCAAAAAATTGGTAGATTTGGTGCTTTTTAAAGTTTTTTTTTACGTGTTTGTCTTTTTCATTGTTAGAAAAAATACACTTTCAAACGTGATGTTCTGTTGTGACGAGGTGACATTCCCTATGTTCTATGTTTTAAACATTTATGAAATAAATTCAAATATACATGATTAAATTAAAATTAAATTAAAATTTCAACGTTTATATAATTTATATTTGTGGATCTTTTGGTATGTTGTATTTGATAATATGAAGCCAAATAAAAAACATATGGCCACTGTGTCATTACTTTTGGATCAACCGTATTATGTAGTAGTCATTTTAGATTTACAATATGTATAATGTCAATTTTTTTATGATTTGTCGAAAAAAAAAACAAACAAAACAACATGATTTTTTTCATTCCAATGTATAAACTCTTTTGATTGTTTCCCACTGAATGTTTATACCCTGCTTGAATAGCGGGAGTGATCCGTATGTCCTTCCGTTCCGACTGTCTAGCTGTATTTAGACTATTCACAGGAATGTTGACGACGAAATTTATATGATATTGGAAGGTTTCCAAACTTGATAAACGTTTTGATTTTCAGAAAATATGCATTATCATAAATTGAATGCAATGAATGTTTTATTAGGATTCAGAATAAAGTATGAAATACGGAAATAATTAATTTTGTTTTTATTTCAGGCACTCCAATCACGTTAAATCTCATTTAAATTTTAAATCGACTTCACAAAATGCATGGATATTTAATTTATTAAGTTCTAATATTTTTTTTTCAGTTTTTCAGTTATTCTAACATGGGAAACAAATATTAATAATTTCTTACTGAAAAAACGTTCCTAATTTTTCATATTGAATTTAATCAATTCAAGTCATCATTCTTGATCAAATCCAATGCACTAAAGGATATCTGGAGTAGAGAGTTTTACATTTTTCATTGCATTTAGAAAAAGAATATATACAATTTTACACTTTTGAGCAGGGATACACATATCAAAGTATGTCATTGAAATTAGGCAAAACAAGTCCTTCATGATATACTACAAACTCTGCACCAGGTTCATCTTCAAAATCTTTCTCCTTTTTCTTGAGCACTATTGACCATATTCTCTCTTTTTTCTAGGTTTATTGATTTCCCTGGTCGTCTGTATTTCTTAAATACAGTGGAGACGAAGTACAGAGTCATCAGAAGGACAGATAAACCCACAAGACTGACGATGGTGTATCTGATAGGTGTCGCTTTGTCTTCGTCTCTTACTGCAATGGATTCCCTTTGGACATAGTTATCCTCTTGTCCTCTTGATCTTAGGAAACCCTCTGGTATTGCATTACTTTTGTTCAAAGCTGAGAATAATTCAGTTGTCGTCAAAAATGGTTTCACTGTTTGCAATACACCTAGAATATAGAAGATTGCTGAATGTAATGTATGTATTTATTAGAAACAAAAAGATTTTCCCCGCATAAAAAGTTGTATGAACACAAAATTTTTCTTTAGTCTGTCATAAACTTGCGCCTTTCTGAACGTTTGTAATGTAACTGATTGTTACAAAACATGTGCTCAAGTCATTTTTAATTACCGTATAAGCAGGGTTTTATCGAAGATTTGTTTTTGGCATTGTTAGGAATCGAGGGTGCCAAGATCGCTAAAACTGAATATTGCTAAAATTTTATTACATGTACGGTTTTTTTTTGTAACAGCTTCTTAAGTAAGCTTCTTAAAATCGCTAACATTACATCTGGCTTAAAATGAATTTCCAATATTAAAGGACAAATCACTAAAACTGCGTCTTGCTGAAATGTCCACTAATACAGTAATGTTTGTTTGACTTCTTCCGAATCAGTATTATGAAAAAATTGGGTCCGTAGATGGGAAGATGTTTTTCTTCTTACATTTTTGACATCAATGCTTAATTCACATGTTTTAAAATTAAAAGTATTTTATGATTGATTGACTGAATATTGTTTAACGCCGAATCGGCAATTTTTCAGCCATGTTTCGGCGGTGAAAGTATTTTAAAAAGATAAAGAAATGTAAAAGGTCTAGAATTAATTTTGAAACAAAATGTGTTTGTAAAACATTATACGCCGGTGGCAGCAAAGTTCGAAAAAGCTATTTTTAGCAAAAAGGTCAAAGTCAAGGCCAAAAGGTCATTCATCATTAAAAGAACTTAAGTAGTGAAGTATGCAAACCAAATATGGAGTCTCTATCTTTTACGGGTCAAACGTTATGACAAAACATCGAAAAAACACATTTTTAGCATAGATCAAAGTAAAAGTCAAAATGCCATTTACTTTGGTGTCATTTGAAAGAACTCAATTAGTGGATTATGCTTCCCAAATTTGAATAATCTATCTCTCACGTTTCAAACGTTATGGCGAAGGTTAAGGTTGACAACAGACAGACAAACAGACAGACAGGACAAAAACAATATACGCCACGGATATATCGATCCGCTCGCATTATTATTATTTTTTTCCGTGAAGGTTTAATTTAAGAATTAGCGTGCAAATCGGGAGAGAGCAAACAAATATTTTTGAATTATGGTCTGGCAGTTTGTCCGTCTCTATCAGAAATACCCAATCTAGTAATTTATCAAAGCATTTTTCTGCAAGCAAACAAACACGGAAAGGGGGGGGGATTAAACCCTGTAAACGATTTGGGATGATTGGCTTTGTATGGATCTACGATATATTTCCTCCGAAATTATTAACGAATGATTATAATTAGCATCCCTTTAAGATAAATAATTGTTTTATTTTTATTACACACTCTCTGTATGTCGGGGGGTGGGGGGTGGGTTAAAACTTTTTTTAGACCGTCTCACCTGGATTAATATCTCTGAGACATCCTGTACGTTTGTTACATTTCTTTCTTTCACAAAGACATCTTCTCTGGCAAAATCTTCCAAACTGGGGATAGGGACATTGCCGTTTGCACTTAGGTCCAAAGTATCCTAACGGACATGCTAATGAAAATAATTAACATATATTTACTTCAAGGTTAATCTTGCAGCAAATAATAATGTTTTAGGCTCTTGTATTGTAAATTCCGGGAATGAAAAAACAATATTTTTATGGTTTTATCTCAAAATATTTCCTGTGTTAAAAAGTTATAGATTTCACATTGCATAATCATAGTACGTAAAGGCATGTACTATCAGTCCTGTTTTTCAAACATTATTTTCATGTTAAAAATTTTCATAGAAATACTGGTCCCCTTTTTGGTTGCAGGTGCAGTACAGCTATATAATTATGTTACTTTATGATAGTGTACCTGTTATACAAATTTGATCGAGAAATAAAGGAACTAACACCACCCATATCCCCCTATCAAAATATTGTCATTTTTATTTCTTTTCCGTATTTGACGTCTGTAATTAATAAGGTATTTGGGAGACATCATATTTCATCGAATACATATCACTTACCTACACATGAGCCAGAATTTGCACTCCACATATAGCCGGCACAGCATGGACTTGGTCTTTAAGATGAAATTATATGAAATGTCATGCAAATTAAATACTATGATGAAAACAAATAGATGAGTTTTGCCAAATATTTAACGGTCTTTAAAAAATGACATTCCTACTTACTTTCCTTCACACAAATTTGCATCTTTTATGTTAACTTGCAGGGAAACTTTCAACACAAAAAAGAAAATGAATATTGTCTTCATGATTAAAATTCCAGCATAGTGACTTTTCCATGAGAATGTTTGTATATGAGGAAATTGATCGCAAAGTGCTCTTAATCTTTCATTTCCTGAGGAAGTTTCCATGAAAAAAAAAATATTCGGAACAACTATTTGCCAAAAGCTTCAAAGTACAGTTAATTCTCGATAAACCGCCACCTTTTGTAATTTAGAAATCGTGGCGGTATAACGAATTTGGCGATGATTTGAATTTCCCATATTTTAGGAAACAAGAAGTAGAGTTACCGTTCTTAGAAATACCATAAAGCGTTTCTATTCTTATAATTACATGTACATGTATACAAAACATATTTCTAAATTTTAAAATACTTCAAGTATTTTTTATGTACAATTTCCTTAAAACAAAATGTGCAGTTATGAAATAAAGACATATACATGTGTGTTTATGTACATGTAAATCGGCACGTCTGATATTAAAAAAACATGCCGGGTCGATCGTCGTGATATATTGCTGACAGTACATAAAATAGTTTCTTGAATAAATTGATTGTTTATGGCATCATTGTTCGTGAAACGTTCAAATTTATACCGTATAATCATTATTAAGCAAACTTTGCATTGTTTAAAGCAGATTTCATCAAAATAATATCGTATTCGGCGTACTTTCACAACTACCTCTTTCGTGGTGAAGCCGTGACTAAATGATTTTTTCAACAAAACAACAGAACAAAACATTGTACCAGCTCATTTTAGAATTATTTGTTCATTTAATTCTAATTTAATTATTTAATTGCGTGTACCTTGTCTGGCTTTGCATGCTTTACAACAGGGATAGCGTCAACGAATTAGCCGCGCTTCACTGACCGCACGCACCTGTGGCGGTATATCGAGATAATTGACACTTAAAAATGGACGTTTGTTTTGAAAACAGGGTGGCGGATGGCGGTATGCGAATTTGGCGTTATAAAGAGAATTTTATATAGCAGGAAAAATGTTCTTGGGAAATCATGGCGGTATTGCGAAAATGGCGATGAATCGAATGGCGATAATTCGAGAATTGACTGTACACCATATCCATCATAATTTAAAACTTGAATCATAAATTAAGTTTAAGGTTATCGATAGATGCATATTTTGATTATAAATGATGCAAATAATAAATTTCTGAAATATTATCGATTTATAGATTTTCTATGATGTTCCACTTTCTACCTTTCTGTAACCTTCCTTATCAATGTGTACATTTTTTTACCACTAAAATTCGCTTTATTGTAAACCTTGGAACAAAAAAAATAAAAACTTGATCGTTTAACATAGATGAATGTTTTTTTTTTTTTTTTTTTTTTTTTTTAAATTTATGATAAGTTTTTTTTAATTGATTGTATTATATGTCCTTAACTGAATAAACGAAGAGTGAATAACGTCACTTTCTAATATGGAAAACATTTTGAAAAAAAAAGAAATTCCGTTAGACAATGCCTTCAAGTTGAAACATTTCGATCCGCTCCTTGCAATATCCTCTCATCACGAGACTATAATCAACGACAAAAGAAGAAAATCAATAAACTTTCTATCTATATCATTACATGCAATGTAATACTGATTGAAATCTTTTCCTCTAAATAATCTTTGTAATGCAATTGACCTCAGTAAGTCACTCAGGATAAATCATGAACCTAACTTCCGTTTTAGTTCCAGGTAACCTTCATTTGATATTTTTATAGCTTGAAAACTACCGTGGCTATAAATAGATTTATAAATAGTTCTCTGTTTGTTGCATATACCTTTGAATTACAATAACATATATATTTTAAATCAGTTTAGGAAATACAAGTACATGTAGTTATTTCTACTTGAGAATTTTATACAAGATATTTGTTTATTGCTGATTATTTGTGTAAATAACTGCATGCGCTATTCGTTTCATTCGTCTGATAATTTTTGTGCTATATATAGATTGAAAATTTTGTGATCATCTAAAGCTTAGCTATAGATATCATCGTGTTATGGAGCTTTAACCTGTAAAAAATTGTAAAAGGTATTTTTCATTTATATATATATATTTTTGTGTGTGTAATTAGCTTTTTAGATATTTAATATTAAGAAAAGTATTTGTTTAATCTAAGCATGAAATTCAATGTCAATCTAATAATTTTGCCTATGAATTAATTCAGTCTTTTAGCTATATCAATCACTTGAGTTTTCATATAAATTTTTATCAACTTAAATATTTAAACGATGTTTATACATTTGCAAAATGTTCAATTCCTTAGAAAGTTAAAATATAATAAAGAAAAAGAATTAAAATAAAATATTGCAATATTCCATCATACATTGCTCATTATTTGCAAAAACTAATAAACTAATAAAAAGTCTCACATATTTTCCAGCGGAAAAAAAGAAGACATGGATTTGTATAGTCGATTTTTCATCTTTACTATGGTGATGCTCCTACGTGTGAAGGAGGTTGGTGCCATCAGTGAATTATTATTTCATCCATCATATAACCATCCAATCTTCCTCGTATTTCTTTTTTTTTTAAGAGCATGATTACATGTATTTCTTGTCAGTCAGCCCTTCAGTGACTGATTGTGCAGAATTTTACTCGCTCACACATAAATATTGAAGTACAAAAAGAGGGTAAAATCATTATTATATACCAATCAGTTAATTTTAAAACCCACATGTTCCAGTATTGTTAATAAGTATTTGGTACCCTACAAAACTTTTATTTTCCCAAATATGCAAACATTTGACATTCATCTTAAGCAATTTCATACTTATTCACAGGTGTTTGCATTCACAAAGTGTGAGGTCTCAGTACTTACCGTGAGGGCAGTTGACGCATGCCCAACTGACGAAAAGTCTTGGAGAAAGGCGGCAGAGAGATTCAACTGTTCGGCTATTCGTCAGTCTTGTTCACAATCATCGGGAGCGAATGCTCAATATTTTAAATTTCAGTATCATTGTGTTATCAATGCATATAGGAATGCGACACTGGAAGTATGTGCACCTAATCGCACTATCCTTGGTATGTTAATTATGAATTTTAAAAAGAGCAACGAACTTTCCTTAAAAATGACACAATCATAACCATTAAACACCACTTGTTACTCATTTCAGGTTTTTGTACAGAATTCAATATACAGGGGGCATTAATTCAGGACAACTATGATGCAGAGTGTACAAAACATAACCCACCATGTCCAACCAGTTATAACTCAGCAGAGGCATACAAATGTAATTATTCTCTCATAATATTTTACAGCCTGATGATGGTGTTAAAAGTTCCTTATTTGCTCTTTTTTTAGAAAAAAAAAAAAGAAAAACCTTGAAACAATATAAAGGGAATTTGACACATTAGATTGAGCATACGAAAATTTCAAATTCATTATACTTTTTCGCATATTATCCAATCTTTAAGCCAACAAAATACATAATTTGGATACTTTCCATATGCTGTGGTGTAGAGGGGATCAGATAGATGATCACAAAATGGTTGACTGCCTGATTGATATTTTGTACTTTCACATCCTTGGCAAAAAAGATTCACTGAATTTAAATGTACGCATAAGTCACCCGGGCGAGAAGTTATATATAGACATTTATTTTTTTGTGTGTCAGCGTCTGCTGTACTGTGTTTTCATCCGGAAGACAAGACAGAAACTTTTTTTTTGTAAAAGTAGGTATCTCGCTACCCGATCTCTGATTGAGCACTTTAACGTACAGGTAACAGTCCGTATGCGATTGTGCAATAAAGAAAACCCCAAATTGCGACGACGAAAAGTATTTTAACTGACTTGTCAGTTTTTTTTTTCTTTCGATGACAGTCAGTGAGGTATTTCTTTAGCTCTCAAAAAAAAAAATAGATTTCGGTCTCAAATAAGCAGAAGTATTCACAGGCTTAAAAACTTTTCTATACGCTGTAAATATGATATTTAGAGCAAACATGTTTTGAGAAGAAAAAGTTTCATATATTTTGTTCTACTTATATTCAAACTCAACCATTTTGTTCCCTCATATATGAAAAGTGTATATTTTTTTTTCAGATCAAACTTGCTATGAAATGGTCAAAGAAAACAGACTGAGAAACAAGCAAGAAAGACAAAAAGAAAATATTTCTGGATATACAACTTTATCTTCATGAAACAGGTACGATAAAATACAAGTGAATCCGAATAAATAATATTTTTTTAATTAACCCATTTTGATTTTTCTATATTGATACAATGAATGTAATATGCCACGCATTATTCTTCAAACCAGTTTCGTCTCTTTGTTTCAGGATCATACGGACTCTTGATGTGGTTATTTATCTGCTTCTCTTTGAAGTGGTTTTTAACAAATTTGTCATAGTGACCTAGTTTGTTTATATCAATATGTGTATAAATGTGTGCATATATGTACGTATGTATGAACACTATGTTAACTGGACTTAGACAGGTATGGATGTTTATATGCATTAATGTATGGGTTCTGGTTTGAATGATTGATGGTTTGAACTGCATAAAATGCATAAAAAAAGGGGAAGACATACGATTAAACTGGAACATAAATCAACCACTCTATTCCCCCGTGTACAAATCGCGGGAACATCTTACTTAAATCAACGTAGGTTGCAAATAATTTGTATACTTTTTTTAATGAGGAAAAGTCGGATTTTGATTTTGCCGACAAACAAATTAGATTGCTTAATTTTAATTAAAACTTCTTGATTCGATATTGCATAAATAGTAAACACCAAGGACACTACCAAGCAAGACAGTCATAAAAAAGATAAGACCAATTGTAATTTAATGTCATGCAATACCTTGCTTTAATGGGAGCGATATTTTAGTCATGCTATATTTTTTTCTGTCTTGATTTTATATTGTGTCCATATGGAATTTGAGTTAAGATTACTGCTTTTCATAAATTAATATGATTTGGATAATTACAGAATTACCTAAACGAGATTAATGGAAAATAAAGACTGCAACAATCTGCTGTATTCAGTTGCTTGCTTTTTCTCTTTGTGATGGATAATTGAACATATATGCATCCTGTTGAATGTAAAATGTTAATAAATGGCAGTTATATTTGTTCTTTGTTTTTTTTTTTAAACTTTAAATAGCCTGAGATTAGCTATCTGTCTTAAAATTTAAACTTAGGATGAGTTAAAGGCAAATATATCCACGAAGAAGGATGTGGAAAAGTTACGAAACCGTGCATGAAAGAATGATATGGAGATAACGAACAGTATTCAATCTCAAAATCCATGAAACAATACAAAATAAGAGCAGAGAATACACGGAACCCCGAAACATCAGAAGTGGGATCAGGTGCCATGGAGGAGTGTGCATTCGCTGAAATTAAAACATACCTGACCCTGAACACTGTCATTAAAACACATGTTTTTCCTAATTTAAATAAATGTATCAATGTAAAACCGTTATATTCCAGGCACTAGAATAATTATTCTGTTTTTCTCTATGAGCACTTAGGCTCTCAAATTATTGAAATATTATAAATTGTATTTGCCTTACGCATTTATACTTCAACACTATTGTTATCAATAAATTTTTCTTTAAAGAAAAAATAAGAGAACCTACACTGTAGGCATATACATGTACTGTAAAATCACATTTTCTCGAAGGGTCTAATTTTTGTGGTTTAAGTAAAAATGTGAATTCATGGGAATTTTCTGGATGACAAATAGTTCAGTAGTAATATCTATAAAAAAAAAGTATGTTTCATAGTGGACATGGATTTGTTTGTCTCCTTATACCTCTTAAGCCATGGCAATTAGGGATTTTACATTACATATAAGTACATGTAATAAAATAACAAATTGAGATCTCAAAACAATTCACTTTTTTTTCCATGTGTTTATTATGACTTTGAGAATAGCCATTACTTATGTTTAGAGCCCATCCGAAAAACTATCTGTCAAGTAGAAACAAAGTATTTTATTTATTTGTTTATTTTATACAGGTGAGATGATAAATCACAAAATTTATGATAATATAACATCTTCAAATAATAATAAAACTGATATAAGTGGTTTTCTTTTCAACAAAATTCATGCGCTACCGGAAATTGAACATGACAATTCCAGTAAAATATATTGGCAATGAAAAGTCCCTCAGGGCTCCCAGAAAATAGTTACTTTTAACTATACTTAAAGAACTCTTAGCTTTAAAATATAATTTAACATACATATGTAACATACATGTATACATATAACTTTTTCCTCTTTCTTTAATCATATTATAGCTGGTATATAATTTGTTCGTTTATTTGTCTGTATGGCTCTTTTTTTCTTGTTTTTTTTTCTCTCTTTTATTTGTTTGAAATATTTTTTCACTCTTGGAAACACCACTTATTTTCTGTGGAGAGTAGCAAATCTTATACTTTACTTGGCAATCAGGGCCACTGAGCAGGGAGAGATCTTTACCTTCCATGATCATTTGCGACACAGATTATTTCCTCGTCCCGAAATGTGATTTGAACTTGAAACTTAATGATCAACCCCTTAATCTGCGAATCTAGAGCATAAGTTCTATCATCACTGCGCGGGCAACCCTTGTTAATCGTATTTGCAGTATTAAAGCTGCATCACTCAGGATCAACCTTGTGTCGTTGCACATAGATGAGGCATTAACGGAAATGCACTAATCCAAATCAATATTTCCTTTTACACAGGAAGAGTATAAATCTGCATTTTAAAAATTAAATGTGATTGAAAATAAAACTCAATTCTGTATAGATCCATTTAAAGATGTCAATAATTACGATTTTATCTTTTATATTTGTATCATCAGTATTTACTTATACATCATCGCAAAACTGTGAAGGGTAAGTTAATTTTGTTTATTGGTTATTAAATTTGTACTGCACATAAACTATTTCTTCCGCGCCATTTACGTACATGTAAAAATTATAAATACATCAAAGCTGGCTAAAATAAACAAATTAACTGTCTGCTGGTAAATTAATTTATCCCCTTTTGTCCAAATATGGTATTTTAGACAACCCTTGGGCTATGGATTTCTTCTATTTTTTTTTTTTTTTAAATTAAAACATCAATCACCCTGTATATATACAAATGTACTTTGATATATCTCAAGACCCAAATATCTTCAGATTAACATTTCATATCTTAATACATTATATAACGTTTATCATAAAGTCCATCAATCTATTCTCAGAATAATTGACAGTGGTGAATTTATTACCGTTAAGTGCATATCGATTCATATAATATGCACAATCAATTTCTTTTCAGATCTGAATGTTGCTCAGGGTATATGTATGATGTGAATTCCAGCAGTTGCATTGGTAATGATAATTTTCTTTTCTTACATGTACACTTTATTATACATACCGGACTAAATTCTGATTATGACAGCTTTAAATGTACTTTGTTTTAGCTTTAATGTTACTCCCAAAAAAGTTATGTTTTATATGTTTTGATTTTGCGGAACATGATGAATTATATTTCTAGCATGTAGAACTGGGTTTATTGGGAAATACTGCGAAATACCTTGCCCATACCCCATGTTTGGAAATAAATGTCAACAAAGATGCCATTGTACAAGAGAACTTTGCAACATTTCCATTGGATGTATAAATTTACAAAAGTTATGTTCTTCCTTTTGTAATGTTTTTAGATTAATATCCCAGACTTAATATGTGAAGTGTTAATTAAAACAAGTCAGTTTTTAAAGGTAGTTATTAAATATTTGTCTTTTCATTTACCACTCCACTTGTGCCTTATAACCATCTGGGTAAAAAATGTATTTAAATTGAAAATGATGATTAATGACTATGTTTGAGCCTAACATTAAATAAAGTATTAGTCCAGGATAATTTAGTTATATTTCTTCTCTTATTAACTCTTAATTCATAGATAAAGAAATGTATCCATTAAAATAATGGACGTAAGATATATCATATTAAAATTAACTCTTATTGGCTCAAGAATCATTTCAGGTGTTTGAAATATGCTCCAATATTTACAATAAGCAACACAAAAAGGATATAATTTTTAAATAGTACATCAAACTTATCATCAATTTTTATGTAAGGCAAAAATACTTCTACAAATTTTGAAATCAGACAAAAGCTGCTTTGTGACTGTTGAACTATTCACTATTTAATTGTGCAGTTTTATTTATTCAGTTACAGAGAAAACTCTGACCACAGAAGCAGATGAGGGATCCACCAAGCTTAGTCATTTTCTATTACACACAAAAAAGAATAATGGCGGAATCCCAATGACTGATTTTACAGCAAACGTTCGAACAATTGTCAAAACGCAAAAAGAATTATTTACTAAATCTGCAAATGTTTTGCAATACACTTAATTAGCTTTAGACAAAGAAATAGTTAATGGCCAAAATCCCCTTCTTATCGGTATTTTAAGCTTTAATGCAATATTCGTAACGATAGTAATTTTGGGTGTGTTTTATTTTGGTTGTCGTCGATACAGAAAGAATAGAAAACGGAAGGAAGACAACTCTGCCACAGCTGTCCACTACCACGAAATCGATGAAAATGCTATTGACGCGAATAGGGATTACGACCCTTTGTATTCTACACACATGTCTGAAGAACAAAAGCCAGAGAATGTTGAACAAGACAACTTCTTTGTTGAGTATACAAATGAATCGCTTAAACGATGAAGAAGTTGTGCAATTTGACATTCGCAAAACAAGTCATCATAAACATCGCCAAAACATTATGTTCATGAGTCATTTTCTCAAGAAGTGTCTTCTAATAGGAATTAGACAGAAGGAAATCAAATAACAGAGAACGAAATGTATTTGACTGTCTGTGATACAGGATAGGACAGATTATTCAAAAATTGGATGCCTGCATATATATATCATTTTGATTTTTCCATATACAAGCAAAACAAAATAAAATTAAAAAAATAAAAGTTGCCCAATCTAGAAAATCCTATTTCGTGTGTGTGGGGGGGGGGGGGAGGGGAGGGGGGTAGTGGACAACTTTTTTCAAATCCGAGTTCCTTTTCTCATACATTTTCCTACAATTCCTTCATATCACTATACTTTGGTAAAAAGTGGGGGGGGAATCATCCTTTCAATGACCATTTTCTATAGTAAAGGTAATGTTGGGGAAAAAGTGGGGGGGGGGGCGGCCCCTGACCCCCCCCCCCCCCCCGGTGCAACGTCCCTGTGGTTGTTTAAGTGAAGGAGAGGAGATGTTAAAAATGATGATTGTTCTGTTGCCATGTGAAAGCAAATTTGGAGAGAGAGGTGTTGTTTGTTAAGCAATTTAATTTGAAAGATTTGAAAGATCGCCAACTTACAGTTGAATGAAGTGATAGAAAATAGATGTTCATCTTTACAACAATATAATTATCAAATCCCTAAAAAATCGTTTAATTTAGACTTTAAACATATCAGATATGATAAAAACAAGGCACCCATACTTTATCCACACTGAATAAACGACGCTCCAAAGACAGAGGACTTGGGTTAATTTTGATGGTCACCATGCTAAATCTGAAAAACAATATCATCAAACATAATCATCAATTTTTATGTAAGGCAAAAATACTTCTACAAATTTTGAAATTAGACAAAAACTGCTTTGTGACTGTTGAACTATTCACTATTTAATTGTGCAGTTTTATTTATTCAGTTACGGAGAAAACTCTGACCTCAGAAGCAGATGAGGGATCCACCAAGCTTAGTCATTTTCTATTACACACAAAAAAGAATAATGGCGGAATCCCAATGACTGATTTTACAGCAAACGTTCGAACAATTGTCAAAACGCAAAAAGAATTATTTACTAAATCTGCAAATGTTTTGCAATACACTTAATTAGCTTTAGACAAAGAAATAGTTAATGGCCAAAATCCCCTTCTTATCGGTATTTTAAGCTTTAATGCAATATTCGTAACGATAGTAATTTTGGGTGTGTTTTATTTTGGTTGTCGTCGATACAGAAAGAATAGAAAACGGAAGGAAGACAACTCTGCCACAGCTGTCCACTACCACGAAATCGATGAAAATGCTATTGACGCGAATAGGGATTACGACCCTTTGTATTCTACACACATGTCTGAAGAACAAAAGCCAGAGAATGTTGAACAAGACAACTTCTTTGTTGAGTATACAAATGAATCGCTTAAACGATGAAGAAGTTGTGCAATTTGACATTCGCAAAACAAGTCATCATAAACATCGCCAAAACATTATGTTCATGAGTCATTTTCTCAAGAAGTGTCTTCTAATAGGAATTAGACAGAAGGAAATCAAATAACAGAGAACGAAATGTATTTGACTGTCTGTGATACAGGATAGGACAGATTATTCAAAAATTGGATGCCTGCATATATATATCATTTTGATTTTTCCATATACAAGCAAAACAAAATAAAATTAAAAAAATAAAAGTTGCCCAATCTAGAAAATCCTATTTCGTGTGTGTGTGTGGGGGGGGGGGGGGAGGAGGGGAGGGGGGGTAGTGGACTTTTTTCAAATCAGAGTTCCTTTTCTCATACATTTTCCTACAATTCCTTCATATCACTATACTTTGGTAAAAAGTGGGGGGGGGCAATCATCCTTTCAATGACCATTTTCTATAGTAAAGGTAATGTTGGGGAAAAAGTGGGGGGGAAGGCCCCTCTGACCCCCCCCCCCCCCCGGTGCAACGTCCCTGTGGTTGTTTAAGTGAAGGAGAGGAGATGTTAAAAATGATGATTGTTCTGTTGCCATGTGAAAGCAAATTTGGAGAGAGAGGTGTCGTTTGTTAAGCAATTTAATTTGAAAGATTTGAAAGATCGCCAACTTACAGTTGAATGAAGTGATAGAAAATAAATGTTCATCTTTACAACAATATAATTATCAAATCGCTAAAATATCCTTTAGTTAAGACTTTAAACATATCAAATATGATAAAGTTAAGGCATCCATACTTTATCCACATGAAATAAACGACGCTCAAAAGACAGAGGACTTGGGTTAATTTTGATGGTCACCATGCTAATTCTGAAAAAACAATATCATCAAACATTATCATCAATTTTTATGTAAGGCAAAAATACTTCTACAAATTTTGAAATTAGACAAAAACTGCTTTGTGACTGTTGAAATATTCACTATTTAATTGTGCAGTTTTATTTATTCAGTTACAGAGAAAACTCTGACCACAGAAGCAGATGAGGGATCCACCAAGCCTAGTCATTTTCTATTACACACAAAAAAGAATACTGGCGGAATCCCAATGACTGATTTTACAGCAAACGTTCGAACAATTGTCAAAACGCAAAAAGAATCATTTACTAAATCTGCAAATGTTTTGCAATACACTAAATTAGCTTCAGACAAAGAAATAGTTAATGGCCAAAATCCCCTTCTTATCGGTATTTTAAGCTTTAATGCAATATTCGTAACGATAGTAATTTTGGGTGTGTTTTATTTTGGTTGTCGTCGATACAGAAAGAATAGAAAACGGAAGGAAGACAACTCTGCCACAGCTGTCCACTACCACGAAATCGATGAAAATGCTATTGACGCGAATAGGGATTACGACCCTTTGTATTCTACACATGTCTGAAGAAGAAAAGCCAGAGAATGTTGAACAGGACAACTTCTTTGTTGAGTATACAAATGAATCGCTTAAACGATGAAGAAGTTGTGCAATTTGACATTCGCAAAACAAGTCATCATAAACATCGCCAAAACATTATGTTCATGAGTCATTTTCTCAAGAAGTGTCTTCTAATAGGAATAAGACAGAAGGAAATCAAATAACAGAGAACGAAATGTATTTGACTGTCTGTGATACAGGATAGGACAGATTATTCAAAAATTGGATGCCTGCATATATATATCATTTTGATTTTTCCATATACAAGCAAAACAAAATAAAATTAAAAAAAATAAAAGTTGCCCAATCTAGAAAATCCTATTTCGTGTGTGTGTGGGGGGAGGGGGGGGGGGGAAGGGGAGGGGAGGGGGGGTAGTGGACAACTTTTTTCAAATCCGAGTTCCTTTTCTCATACATTTTCCTACAATTCCTTCATATCACTATACATGTACTTTGGTAAAAAGTGGGGGGGGGGGGCAATCATCCTTTCAATGACCATTTTCTATAGTAAAGGTAATGTTGGGGGAAAAAGTGCCCCCCCCTGCTCCCTCCTTCCCCCTGTGCAACGTCCCTGTGGTTGTTTAAGTGAAGGAAAAGAGATGTTAAATATGATGATTTTTCTGTTGCCCTGTGAAAGCAAATTTGGAGAAAGAGGTGTCGTTTGTTAAGCAATTTGATTTGAAAGATTTGAAAGATCGCCAACTTACAGTTGAATGAAATGATAGAAAATAAATGTTAATCTTTACAACAATATAATTATCAAATCGCTAAAATATCCTTTATTAGACTTTAAACATATCAGATATGATAAAGTTAAGGTATTCATACTTTATCCACATGAAATAAACGACGCTCAAAAGACAGAGGACTTGGGTTTTGATGGTCATCATGCTAATTCTGCAAAAGAATATCATCAAACATTATCATTAAACACCCAAACTATTGCAGAGACTAGGCCATTCTTACAAATTGACTGTTTTTGTTGCAAACTTGCATGATAAGAAATATAAGAAAAAATGTTAAGCTTCTGTGAGAGAACGCAAAAGAATATGTCACGTGATCGCCTCTATCACGTGGTCCGCACATGGGCAAAATGGTTGAGTGATAATTCTCAAGAGGGACATTTAAAAATATATATCAATCAATTACTTTTATAGCACCGTACATGGAAAGTGAACAAATAGAAACTGTTAAAGTCAGTGCTTCTTGCAAAAATCCGAAATAACTA